CTGGTGCTTTCACTTCCAGAGACAGTTGTAAGCACTGTGTAACTGCCTCGAGGGTGCTTGATACAACTTGGTGCGATCATCCCCCTTGCGCGGAGTAAGGGTTATCGACCCCGCACAACATGATCTACTTGACCACCATTATGGTTACCGCCAAAAAAACAAATCAGAGGTAAAAAAAAACAAACGGTAACCTGGTTGCCGAGTTCACGAAGTGACTTGGCGTGTTTTACAACGTCGTTTCCAAGCGACGAAACCCCAATCCCGATGGCAAATACCGAAGGGACGAGTGAAGAAAAAGGGCGAGAAGAAGGCGAGGCAGCCGGACCTCCCCCCCCCGCCGAAGCTGGACCAGGAACCCCTCACCTCGAGCGAGGAGGACATCCCGATGTACTTCACGAAGCAAGAACAGCTACTCGATATATTTCAGGTGTGTGCGTGCGTGACGGGGGGGGGCTTTGTGAGTCGTTATGCCGATGTTGCATACATTTCGCGGTGCAAGGAAAGTTCCAACGAGTGAAACGTTGTTTTTCCTTCCCTCCGCTTGATACACCACCCCCCGTGCCAACCCCTCGACGTCACGGGCAGGCATTAGAGGAGCAGAACCTGTTCTTTATCCAGAACTCCCAGGAGACGGAGCACGCGCTGGACGAGCTCAAGCAGAACTTTGGCAAGGTGCAGAAGACGATGGACACCAAGACACAGGTGGGTTGCAACGCGCGATACGGACGTGGTACGGCAGAGGCACACAAGCTGTAACCAAGTTACTTCGTAGCTTTTATTGCCTTTAGCGCGAGAAGTTGTGAGGAACGTTGTGCCCAGAAGCAGTAGGAAACAGGAGGAGGGGTCGAGGGTATGGGTTGGTCTTACATCATGCTTTCCGCCCAGCCGTGACGAAAAAGAAGTCCTGCCGCAGACGAGACATGAGCTTGATATTTTGTGTATTCTTCTGGGAAGGTCTCATTCACTCCCTTGTAGCTGGTTTAACGAAAGAATGTCTAACCTCACGATACCGTTCCCCTCTGCTCCCTCCCTACTCAGTCCCCTCGTGAAACTATTGCGCCTTACAGTGACACGCGGAATGCCTTTTCGACACATTCAGGACGAGAATTGAAGAGAATTGCATGCACGTTCTGATGGGTGGGGGCATTGCAGGCCCTACGATCAAACATCCGGGAGCTAGTAGATAGCATCGATGTGGAGGAGGCTAAGGCGGAGCAGCTGAGGAAAAGGATCGCCGCCAGCACCGGGGACACGCTGGACCGTCAGGAGGAGCTCCTGAAGCAGCTCAACAAGGAGGTGCTGCTGTGATCGTTGTGTGGAGGACGATGTATTTTATTGTCGTCTCAATGCCTCGGAGGAGTTGTAGGAGTCGAGGTTGATTCGTCGGAATCAGGACGTGGCTCCGGAGAATAACTTTTGATCCTACAAGACAAAGCACGCAAGGTGGGGCTCCTTATTCCCGCTTCAACCGCTCGTGGGGGACAGAGTGAGACAGTTGACATGGGAAATAACTCGCGCCACAAAAGGACTTTTGCTCGTCCCGAAATACTGAGGAAGTCGCCCGGTAGCGCCAACCGAAAACGAGACACTTCCACCTTGTAGTAGGAAGTGGCAGAACGAGCATGCCACACGTTCGATCGAATGACTTCCTGAAAACGTTCCGACTTTCCTGTTCTGGCTACTCCTTCGCCTGTCGCACGTTTTCTGTATCCTTTCTGGTGACAAACCTCCTCGCTCACAGGTCAAGCATGTATACGAGCGTTGCGGTTTCGACGCGTCGTCGAGCCCGACTACCCTGTACATGCTCAGCGACCTGGAGGCCCGCCTGGAAGACCTGCTGAGTGATATCGGACAGATGCCCGAGGAATACGTCGCCAAGGCCGAGAAGGCAAGTACCTCGAGAAAAAGGGGTATACGTCGGGTTACAGGACCGTAGAGGGTACTCTTGACGGGTGTGCCTTCGCCGAGAAGCACACGCTTGTTTCCAAGGCCGGAACATCGAAGTTCTCGTTCTTGAAGGAGTGTCATGGGCGGTTGTCTGGACTCCGCTTGAACGCCAACGACGACGTATGCCGTGCTTCCCAGACCACCAGGGTCGTGGTATGTGGCAGGTAATCACCGTGCGAGACCTACAGCAATAGCTCGACGGAATCCAACACCAGTAGAAAAATATAAGGATGACCGTTTGGAGGGAATCGTTGGGGGCTTGCCCTGTTACGATCATTTAGGGGTGTAAACTTCACACTTATCCAATTCTGGCATATTGTGCTGCATATCGCGTCCACCCGACAAACCGGAGTGCACGATATTCATGTCGTCCGAAGCAATACGCACGATACTATACGGTTGGTTCCGAAGCTTGGTCATATTGCGTCCGACTGCGTGTGGCACGGTCACCGGAAACCATCGCTCAGTCTTGCCCTACCCTCGCGGCCCTTTCTTGCGGATGGATGTTGTTTTCAGGAAAAGGAGAAGAAGAGGAGAGAGAAGAAGCGGGCAGAGCAGCAGGCTCTGCAAGAGCGCATGCAGGTGAGCGCGTCTGACCGAATGCCTCCGTGTTTGCGCTGCTTGTGCCTCGGGCTCTAGCCTAGTGCTGTGTGTCGAAATAAACTTCACGAAGGGCTGCTCGCTACACGTAGTTGAACATACCCTTCTCGCCGTTCTCAGTTCATGGACACTCAATCATAACTCTGTGAGAGGATCAGAACTCAAGTCCTAGTGTTTAGTGTGGTTCAAAATGCGCATAAACCGTATGGCGTGTTCTGTGTGTCACGTAAGACAAGAAAAACCCCGCACCCGTTGCGTTTTCAAACCCCCCGATATGCTCTGTCTTTCCCTTGCAGGAGGAACGCAACCGCAAGGCTATCGAACGGTCCTTGCAAGCCCCGCGCAAAAAAGCCGGCCGGCCAGTGATGTTCCGAAGCCGCCTTCAGAAGCGGAAGGTCAGCAAGAACAAAGATATGTCCCACGGAGAAGACCTCGACGAGATCAAGCACCTTACGTAGATTGTGGTTTATTCTCCTAGTGGGTGTACGCTAGGCCCTCGATAGTTTGAATCGATTATTTTGGTTCAGACCTAGGTGGCTGTTGAATCTGGTCGGTTCACAGGCTAGGAGCAAGGACTGCTTCTCACGTGGAGAGGATTTCCTGTAGAAGGCTCAATTGTCCAAGCTGTCCTCGTCGCCTCCTTACGAAATAGCAAGCATGACTGTGCCATTACCTCGATTGCAGTCCACAGAAAAATACACCCATCCGTTCGTTCCGTGTTGTGGTCGGTGTGTTGACGTTAGCTTGAGAATGATTCTGATTGAGAATAACGTTGTCGGTACACATTGTTCATGGATGCAAGAGAACGTCGCGAAAATATGGAGCACCTCAGTTGAAGATTTTTCTATTGAAAATGCTCCCATTCGTGCTAAGCAAACAACGAGATTTCCGATGCAGATTGATTGATTGGCATACGTTGAGCTTCATTGCACTACGTCGATCGACGTTAGACCAAGCCAAATGTGGTGTTCGTTGCCGAACTCATAGGGCACCCGGCATTCATCTTGGGAGGCTCAACAGTATCGGTATCAACAATGCTTGAACAGGTGTATTCCACCTTCCCAAGGGTTTCTGAACGTGCCCGCACTTGAGAGAATCTCTAGTGTTGCCCGAGGCTGGGGCTATTCGTTCGTAGGGTCATGCTACGAATAGCCGCCGAGCTAGTGTAGGTTGCTCAAAAATGGTGCTCAAGTTCTTAAGATATTGAAATTATTCAGGCTTATCATTGTCTAAACTGCCAAGTTCTAAAGTGCGGGCGCGTTCTGAATCCCTGCTCCGATGTCGTACACTACCTTCACTCGCCAATTCCCGGCGGAAAATTGTCACGGGTGCGTGACGGAAAGCCAAGACGCATGGTGCGGCTTGCACGTGCACCGTGCGAGGGCGTTGAACTTTTCCGTTGATAAGACGACCTAGCGTCAGCAATGAACATTGACTGTACCATATCTGTGATGATCACTGAGTTTTGTTCGCTCACCCTTTCAGGGCCTGCCCCAGGGTCAACAGCCGCGGCGAGAAAAAAGAAATGCTGCTGCCGTACATAATACCCCCCGATTGTGCATCGACAGCCTATGTCGGGACTCTCGATCACCGAGGTGTTTGCCTCTCTACATGATGGGTGTATTCCATCCGGGGGGGGGGGGGGGGGGGGG